CTGGGGCCTCCGCGCGGAGAGCTCCTTGGCGAGCTCCCGCTCCAAGGTCGCGCGGCTCTCGGCGCGGGCCTCGGACAGGCTCTTGCCCTCGGCCGCACGCTCGGCGTCGCTTTGCAGCCTTCGTCGTCGTCTTTGTCGTCGTCGCCGCCGCAGCCGCCACCACCGTCGTCGCCGCCGCCGCCGTTCCCGCCGCCGTCGCCGCCGTCGTCGCCGTCGTGATCGTCGTCGTCGTCCCCCTCCCTCTCTCTTCATTTCATTTCGCTAAGCCTGAGGCCCCTCGGAGGCCAGCTGACTACATCACTCCCATCTACGGACTACTGCTCTGCTCTTGCTACAAACAACCGACTCACAAACAGCGCGCTTTCCTCCAAAGCCAGTGCCTCCGCATGAAACGAAGAAATTGGAGAAGATATGTACGTTCCGGCCATAAACAGAGGGCGGAACACCCATGTATGACCGTCGTGAACGCCCACTTCGACAATCCAACCGGTGGCTGAACACGTTCCCATTCGCGTGCCGCCGTCCGAATGCACCACGACGTTGCACTGTTCAAGGGGCGTGTTGTCGAACGGAAAGTCTAACTGCTTGCTCCACGACATCTTGGTATCCATTGTGTAATTGACAAGCCAATCAGCCACCACGTTGTAGTCGCGCTTACGCCATGTAACCAGATCGCAGTGTGGATAAGGCGGTGCCCAAGCATGCTGAAGTATAGATAACATACTGCTGCAAATACTGTGAAATATGGGCTCGGCGTCCGGATCCCGAGTCAACGGCACGATTCCCATGGAAATTCTCTGAAGCGGTTGGCAATCAACGATGAACACGCAGCGTCGCCCTTGACCTTCCCAATCCAACACCTCGCCAAAGCCGTCACCATTGTGATGTACCGGGCAGTCGTGCACGGCGTATTGGCGGGATTTCTTCCGCGGCGGCGCATTGTCACGTGGTGCGTGCGCAGCATCAACGTCCGATGCAACGTTTGTCCTTGGGACAGGAATGAGCGGCAATCCCCAAACCTCGCAAACCGTGTTCGTGAAAGTCGTGACGTTTTTCTTCCACTCGTTCACCGTGCCGAAAGTGTCGCGGAACTTTCTCCATTGAGGCCCATACACGCTGCAAAACACGTCGTCCCAGGCGGGCGGGTGTCCACTAGTCCGCTGTGCTGCGCCCAGCGTTCGCCTCCACTTCCAGGGTATTTGTCGAGCTCCGCCCCACCAATCTGCGGCGCGAAACTCTCGGAGCCCTCGGAGAATATTCCGGAAATGCGGGTCAGGATGATGAGTTTCCCGCCACGCTTGCAGAAAGACTGCGCGCAGAACACGGTGGTGAAGAAGTGGCACGTCAGACTTGGCACTCCAGTTTTGGATCAAATGCGAGGTGCGCTGGTTGTACTCCTGCTGCTCTTCCCCAGGTTTCCGCCTGAGTCGCAATGCTTTTCGGAGCCGTTGGAACTCCCACCGCTTGGCGGCCATCAGCGTGCTCTGGCACAAGTGCATGGTGCCCGCGCCAAACAAAGCTGACGTCGAGGGCCCTTTTCTCCAGGAAGAGAGCTTGCTCGAGACGCACCCCGGTCCGCCAAAGGCACGGGAGTAACTCCAAAAACACCCATCTGCTTTGAGAAGCCTGTGTTCGATCGAGCGCCGAGTGGAACCAGAAGAATTCAAAAGGGTGCCGAGAACCTCCATCTCTGGGACCTTCTCGAGGATGACGGGCTCGCAATCGAATCCCACGCAACCAACGTCGAGAGTATCATCGCTGTGCGCTCCTCCCGAGCACATGAACTGCAGAGACGAACGTTTCCAACTGAGCTTGAAGGTGGTGACCCTGGACGTCAACTCAGCAGCCATTGTCTGAAATTGGCTTCGGCTAGAGGCAAATATGAATATGTTATCGGCCCAAACAAGATGTGTCAGGAGCGGGATTCCTTCGCCCGGTGAGAACCCGAGGCCCCTATCGGACCAATCAGCCGCCAATGGACTCAAAATCACTTCGAGGAACATGTTGAATTCATCTGGGGTTTCAGCTCCTCCTTGTTTCCCACCGCGTTCAAAGTCAAAATACGAGGTAGTACCAGCTCCAGGCACGCTCAGTCGCGCCGAGAATCCAGACAGCTCCCGGAGAAGACATCGGACCAATCCTGGATGGACACCGCGAGTAAGCAGGGCACCGCCTAGGAGCTCATGGTCAATGGCATCGAACGCCGTCGCCACGTCGAGAGCTGCGACGATCAATGGTATACCCCACCTGTTCGATAGATACAAGCACTGCCGCATAGTGGAAACGAGGTCGTCACTGCAAAAACCCGCCTTGAAACCCAGTGTGTGCACCAGACTACGGGAAAGCTGAGATCGAACCAGACGCAATAGACTCCGTGCAAACCACTTCTGCATGCAGTCAAGCTTAGAAACCCATCGGAAAAGATCGAAGCTATCAGAAATCCTTGTCTTCGGCAGGCCCACGAACTCGATAAGCTTCCACTCCTGCACCTCCTCGGGGGTCTTGCTGGACAGCCTGCAAGAAAATAAGTCCCAGATATGGACTGCGACTGTGAATGGCAAATCTCGGTATACCTCTGGTGGGCAGCCGTCGGCACCGGCAGCTGATCCACTCTTGATTTTCGAACGCCCTTGCAACACGTCGAACAAGGAAAGGGTCGGTGTGTCCCAGCCGTCAGCGGCGGCAGAATCAATCAAAGTTTGTAGGCTGCCCAATCGAGCAAACTGCACGTCAAAGGTGTTGGAATCATCGCCAAAGCGTTGCTTGCCGAACTTGAGTGCCTCATCGATCCAAGCTTGGCGGTCATGAGATAACACGCCGTCCACCTTCAGGGCAACGGGGAGACGAGGGGATCCTCGTTTCGGCTCGACCGCCTGCAACTGCTTCTCGTTTCTGAGTTTCTTTGCACGCTTCTTGGCAGCCCGAAGCTGGACTACCGCGGCCTGGCGAGCGGATCCCGTCGACGAGGCAACGAGTGCGCATGCCTCCCGCACTGGACTGTTGATGGACATGGCCCTGGAATGTTTGCGTTGCGACGCGGTGGTGTGCGGAGTGTTCCGCGCCTCATTGAGGATGTGCTTCTGAAGAGCTCCGAGACAATCACCACGAAAATGACAACAGTTCTTACGAAACGCATCCAACGCGTCGGAGTTGATAGGTGACCATCCTGTCATACATTTTGGCGCCATTGGACCATGTACACTGTAACATTGTGAAACGGCGGTTTGACGAAGGTAGCTAACCAACGGCCGGTGGTCGGACCGGCCAAACAGCTTCCCATCGAAGGTCTGCGGCGAGGCGTAGCCGTCAACGCCCTCTGAGACAACGATGAAATCAATCTGGGTGCGTCTGGACAATACTCTCCGCCGCCCACACGTCCATAGGCATGTCGGCTCCCCGCGCAGATCAGCTTCCCCTGGACATTCAAATGTGTTCAAAGCCCGGCCCCCCAGCGCCGTAAACCACTCCAAAATCACACGAGTCATGGACGGGGTGTGGGACGGGGCGGCAGGAAGAACATGGTGCCCAGTGATAGCTTCATAATCCGCGGGCAGAGTCACATTCGCATCGACACCCATCACAATCTCGAACATGCAACCAGGAAAAGTGAGCCGCACATGCTGCACATACTCCATGGTCTCTTGAATTACTTGTTGTCCCCTCCCATCTGGCGAAAGATGGTCTAAAATGTGCGCTGAAATCAAAATTACATTGCCCACCACACACGCTGCCCAGTAGTCACGGTACCTCTCAGAACGAATGGCCGGAGTCCAACGTCTAGGAATCAAAAAGCCACAGTCCGAGCCCTCCCTACACATGACGACGTGGTTGTGGTACACATAACCTGCACTAGCACCCCAAGCAGGTACCTCCTGCAGCAAGATCGCCGTGTCCCCGAACAGCGCCCGAACCTGCTTGGCGACGTTGGGAATGGAAGATCGACCTTTCTTGCAGGTGTTCCAGCTAATTAATTGCACGTCATTGAATTCGAAGTGGGCTACCCTGCCACCTCAATCTTTAAACGACGCCATGGCCTGCTGGATCTGGGTGGCTGGAGCCCCCAAGTGGCACTGGCAGTTCGCGTCGTCCCACTGGATCACACCGCCGTCCCCGACCACGCCCACGACCGCCTGCATCTGCTCTTTGCCGACGGTGAGCTGCCAATCAGGCTGCCACGAGCACTCAGCCGTGCCTCCGGCTGGCACGACGCGAGATCGGAGGAACGCCCGGGCCTTACCCCCTGCTGCAAATTGTTTTTGGACATTCGGCTCACGTTCCGTTGTGGTATAAAGAGTTCTTTCGCCTCTAAGGTAATCGGGCTCCTTCAAAAGCTCCTTGAAAATGGAAGAGATTTCGTCCGCGTACCCAGGGGAAACGTCGACAGTAAACTTATGCCACTTGTACCCTTTGAGGTGGATGGGACCTAGCTTCGATTTCAAGGACTCCGGTAGGGAAGTGGACAGTTTCTGGATCAATGTCTCGGCCTCCGTCCTGGATACCCCTGCGGACTTGCGATCTTTCCACTCACAAAACCCCTTGAACTCGATGGACTTGGGTGTAAATGCTGAAGTCGTGCTGCCCTCCTCGAGACGCTGGAGGCGCGCCGCATGATCGTCAAGACGACTGTGTGCCTCCTTCGTCCTGGCCTCGTTCCGAACGATCCTCTCGTTGATCCCGTCGACCAGGGGTTTTACCTTCTCGTCAAAAATTCCACGAATCGCCTGGAGAAGCTGAGCCTGATCTCCCATGGTGACTAGAGGAGGGTATGGTACCAGATCAGTGTAGATCTCCTTGATCCTCCTTGATCCTCGCTCCCTTGCTCATCCCACCCGCCCTCCCTCTCCTTACCTCCCTCCCTCTCCCTGCTCTCCTCCCTCCGCCCCTGCGCCCCCCCCCCCCTCCCTGGCGGCCTCCCGCACGGGGAGGCCCCGCTGCTGCTCCCCATCCCTCCCGCCGCGGCCTCCCGCTCGGCCCCGGCGGCGCCCCCACCCCCCCGGCGCCTGCGGCTGCGCGCCCTCCTCCGCCGACTTCGCCCTGGGGGCCGCTCTTCGGGGCCTCCTGGACGGGGTCCGAGGAGATGGGGCCGGAGGACCGCGCCGCGGCGGCGGCGTCGGCGATGCGTCGGCGGCGTCGGCGCGAAGAGCATCGGGCTCCACGTCGAGCTGCATCGCCGATGCGCCGGCGATGCATCGGCGATGCGGCGCGATCCTCCGACCCCATCGACTCCGACCCCATCCAAGAAGCCTGGACGCTCGGACCTCCGCTCTGCCAGCACGGGCGGGGGGAATCTCCCGGGGGAGGGCGGGGCGGCGCCCGAGGGGGCGAGATCGGCGCCGCTACAGTCGGGGCGTTGACCCAAGGAACCCTAAATAAGGAACGAGGCCCCTTTTTGTCCATGAGTTAATCTTCGATTTCCGATCGAAAACATAAGGAAAGCCTGAGGCAAGCTGTGGAACACTTAAGGAACGCGGAGCCCCTCCCCAACGAAAAGGGTTCCTTCTTCAGGGCCCCGACTGTACGGTCGGTGGGGAAGATGAGGAGGACGACGACGACACGTTGAAGGCATCGGATAAGGAGCCATTGGATAAAGAGTCCAGGGTCTGGAAGCGGGTGGGACTCCTGTCGTGGATTGGCCGTGGATATCACAGGCGCCCTCGTCAGATAAGGAATCCTCCAGTGCCTGAAGCCTCTTCCGCGCTGTCCTCAACGAATGCCACCACCATAACTGGCCTCAGGCGTATCAATCCTTATCCCTGAAGTTGACAAGCCTGAAGGCGAGGACAATCTTAGAGGTGCGTACCCGAAAGTGAGGGGATCCTTAAGCTCGGCATCGGGACTGGGTGATGCCGATCATGGGGATTGGGATGCGTTTCAGGCTGGCAAGACGAGGTCTCTAGCGTCACGAAGAGAAACACCACGGTGAGATTGTCCGAACCTGGGTCGTTGGAGGCCCGCTTCCAAACAGCAGGACCGTCAAAGACCCGCCCGGGATTCAAAGACGGGCCCCAGGGATGGGGCCGAGAGGGTCCAGGGCCAGGACCAAGCTGTGGGGGATTGAGGAGTAGCGCCCAGTTCGCATCTCGCGCCAGCGCGAGAAAAAGAGCGGGGCCATCTTTCTTTTTCGCTGTCGCGTCGCCCGCCCAGAGAAAAGAGAAGAGCAGGAGCAGCATCTGGAGCAGGACGAGAGAGACGTGGAGAAGGAGGAAGACGAGCACATTCCTCCGCGTCCTTCTCGTCCTCCTAGTCGTCCCTCACCCCGTCCCACTCCTCATTGTACCCCTCCCTCTCCGCATCTTCCCTGGCCCCCACATCGCACCAACGGTAACACTGCTGCGCAAAGCGATGTCCTTGCTGCCGTTTCTTTCTGCATCCGCATGTCGCCGAAGAACTTGTCCATCATCTCCACCTGAAGCGCCACCCACACGATGCTCCCTCAGGACTACGTTCTCTGAATTACCTCGCTTCGATCAAACCGACAACAAATGCCCATGACACTCCCCACTGCACGTCCCACACATATTATTGTTGCGTGGTGCTTTTGTTGCAAGCGCGAGGGCACATGTTCGATGTACTGCCAACACCACAACATGGTAGGGGTCAGTCCAGCTGCGGCATGAGTGCCGATGTACAACAAGTTTACTCCATTGTGTTGACTACTCTGCAGCGAAACGATGGAGTACACGGGCAGAGCATTGGCGTGCGCATGTACCCTCTCAGGGCACTCGCGCCCATCGAGCGGGGTCACATCAAATATATCGAGAACATGGGCAAGTAAAACCGCGTCTATTTTGTCAATCACAATGCAAGGCAGCCCGGTGTGCCCGAGCGCTCCTTCATCATCAACGCCCAAGCGAGCACACAACGCCTCTAGTTGCGCAGGGTCCTGTATCACCCGCTCACGATCACCCACGCAGAGCTGTCCTTCATCCTCAATCGGCGCGTTTGCTCTGATAATTTGCGCAATGAGGGACCACAACATCCGCAGCGTGGGTGCGTGAAAGCATTGGCCTGCAATCATGGAGCATGCCATTTCAGCGCACTTGTAAGAGGCTGGAATTCAAATATGCAGCACTGGCAACAGTTCAAATGAGCTCCCCAATACGACTCAAATGAGCGCTTAGATTTTTGCACATGGGTCGAGTTCATTGATGCAGGCGGCGGGCAAGTCCAAACTCAGCTGCCATGCGAAATGCCTCTACCGATATTGCATCATGCGCCAGAGAGAAATCTTCGCAAGGTCTGTGAAGGCCCTGGATATCATACTCTCGTGCCCAGTGCAAAAAGCGCACAAATGCATCCAGCTGTAAGCCAGCAAGCGCATATGATGATGCACCCATCGTATCCAGGGAAGGCAGGACCTGGCCAAACTCCTCTTTGGACTTACCAAGCAAGCGAATCTGACCCGACTGCCCCTCAGACCACCTGCCCATCTCCGGCATGGTGCGGAAAACGGGTGAAGCAAGCATGAGCAATCGGGAACGAAGGTGACACACGCCACCCTCTGCGTCCAGCCCCACCTCAGGTCCAGATGAGGAGGGAGGAGGGAGGAGGGAGGAGGGAGGAGGGAGGAGGGAGGAGGGAGGAGGGAATCTGGACGCTGGGGCGCGTCAGCTGCTCTCGCTGCTGCCTGCGCCACAGCTGCTACGGAGATCTTGAGCCCGCGCGTTCCTCGCTGGACCTGTCACGGAGAGATATACCGAGGTTGGCGGGCCACTGTGCCGCCGGGCACGGAGTGGGCGCGTGCCTCAGGTCCTCTGCCCAATCCCCTGGGCTTCAGTCCTCACTCCTGGGGAAAGGTTTAAAAAAAAGGCCCAGAGCCCCACATCGCCAGATCTCCCGAGGCTTGTCGCATGCCCCGCGGAGTTCCCAGCTTCTTCCCGCATGACTTCTTCGGGCCCAAGAAGGCCCCAACACGGGCCAAGAGGGCCCTAACAGGCCCCGAAGACGGTCCAGGAGGACCCTGAGTCGCCGAACAATCGCTCCAAGACGCGCAAGATGGCACCCAGACGGCCTGAGAGGCCTCCAGGACGCCCCTAGAGGCTTCCAAGAGGCCCCCCCAAAGCCCCAAATGATTGTTTTTCCGTCGGGTTTCGAAGGTTTTTGGCGTTCTCGCCTTTTCAGCTTCCCGACGCTCCCAGACGGCCCTGGAGTCCCCAAAGATCGCCCCAAGACCCCCAAAAAGGCCCCAAGAGGCACCCGAGAGGCCTCCAAGAGGCCCCCAAGAAGCTCCCAGGAGAGACCCCACAACGACTTGAGTGTACGTGCCCCTCACGCGCACCCCGCGAAGCGAGAGGAACCCACGTCCGGAAGTGACGTGTTGCCTGAGGCAGGTCGCGAAAGCACTAATGCAACATATCCCGTGTGTCCAATCTTACATAAAATTACGTATGTCATCACGGCGTGTGTGTGTATGTATGTGTATATATATACATACATACATACATACATACATACATACATACATACATACATACACACACGCACTGTTCCCCAAACAGTTTTTGCACTTAGTGGTTCTCACTTCTGTTTTAGCGGTCTGGCGGCTTTGTTGTCGCCGTGGCCGCCCCGTCGCCGCCTCGTCGCCGCCCGTCGTCTAGGCTGGCGTGGCGGTTTGGCGGATATGTTGTCGCCGTCGCCGACCAGTTGCCGCCTCGACGCCGCCCGTCGTAGGCAGGCGTGGCGGTCTGGCAGCTATGTTGTCGCCATCGCCACCGCGCCGCCGCCCCGTCGCCCTTGCGTGGATCTGCACCACCAACATTGTTCCACATAGATCGCACATCATGAAATGCACCTCGCAGATTGCACCATATGGATTCTCCTCTCTTAACAAAATTCACTCCCCCCCCAACCGATTATCGGTACCCCACTTCGTATTGCAAATAAAACCTGATTTTGCCCTATCGTCCATCCAAATTGAAAACGTACCATCCCGGCCCAACCGGTACCGGCCCCCCCGCCATCCTCTGCAAAAAATACTACGCGCGCGCAATAGTCGATCATAAATCATCGATTTTCAAAAGCAAGAACCTTTTGCCAAAAATATGACAAAATGCACACGCGCACGTCGTCGCGCGCATGCCGATTTTTTGTCAAAAACCATTGGTTTCGTAAGGATATCGAAATCGACTGCCCCAAAAACATGTTATATGTATATAAATGGTTTCGCAACACGGATTTAACAAAAAAAAAATGCGCGAGCTTTTGTGCACTCTTCAAAAACCATTGTTTTTTGTTTTCAATATTGTTATGGAATTATGCCATATTGGCTTCGCGCGCGCGCCTGTCGAAATCGTTCGAACGCCCTTGCGTACGTGCTGGGGGGGCACGATCCGCGTCACAAAATACCATGCGGGCCACTCTCGCGCGTGTCTGCCGCGCGGGCATGTCGAACTCTTTCCAAAACCTCCATCACCGACGCGAAGTCGCCGTCATCGTCGTCGGCGTTATCAGCATCGGCGCCGTCACTGGCTGCCCCGTAGTCGTTGTCAGCATCATCCCCAGCATCGGTAGTATCATCATCGTGTCGACTGCTGTCGACGTTGCCATGATACCGCGCCCGCCCAAGCCGCCGACTTGCATTGAAGTGCCCGCTGGGGTGCGCCGAGCGGTTACAACCACCACGTTCGCGTCGGTCGCGCCAAACTAGCTGGCCGCTGCGCGCGCGAGCATGCGCGGGCCCGTGCGGCCGCAGAGATGCACCAGCCAACACCACGCGCTCATCGCAATCGCTGCCGCATGGGTTTTGCAAACCAAGTTGCGGGTGGGTGGGTGGGATGGTTGCGCGAGCATTGGAGTCGACAACTTCAAGTTCGGCAAGGTGAAAGAACAAAGATTGTACAACATAAATTGCACCACGTCGGTTGCACAACAAAAACTGCGACACATAGATCGCACGACATATATTGCACCGGATAGATTGGACCACGTAAGTTCTCTTTTCCAAAAAAATACTCATCCCCCCCCGGGGTTATCGACCCCCCTTATTCGCGTTGCAATTTACATACAATTCTGCCCCATCGTCTATCCTAAATATGAACCCGTACCATCCCAGCCAGACCGGTACCGGCCCCCCCCCCCACCATCCTCTGCAAAAAAATACTACGCGCGCGCACTCGTCGATCACAAATCATCAGTTTTCAAAAACCCGTTCTGTGAACAATTGAACGAAGTGCACACGCGCGCGTCGTCGCGCGCGCATGTCAAATCCTCCAAAAACCGATGGTTGCGCAAGGATTTCAAAATCGAATGTCCCATACATATATATATATATGCACACACATATACATATATATATGTATACTAAAACAAAAAATGGTTTCGCAACGCGGATTTTCAAAAACAACTTGCGCGCCCGCTCTTCTGAACTCCTAGGACCATTGGTCCTTCAACATGTTGATAAATTTAGACAAAACAGGCTTCGCGCGCGCGCATGTCGAAAACGTTCGAACGCCTTTGCGCGCGCACAGCCGCGAGAGCCCTTTGCCAAACATATAACGACATGCACGCGCGCGCGTCGTCGCGAACGCACGCCGACATCCGTCAAAAACCTTCGGCTTCGCAACGAAATCAAAACCGAATGTCAAAAAAACATCCCAACAAAATGTTTCGCAACAGCAGTTTTCAACACGGAAAACTGGCACGCCCTCTTGCGAATTCTTAGGAAAACTATTGGTTGTTCAAAAGTCGCATGGAATTCTGCCAAACGGGCATCTGGCGCGGCATGCCGACATCACTCGCGAGCCCTTGCGCGCGCGCATGGGGGGCACGGTCCGTATCAAACGCAAACGCGCGGGCCACTTTCGCGAGCGTTTGCCGCGCGCGGCACGTCGAACTCTTTCCAAAACCTTCATCGCCGACGCGATGACACCGTCATCGTCGTCGGCGTCATCAGCATCGGCGCCGTCACTGACTGCCCCGTCGTCGCTGTCAGCATCGCCACCAGCATCGCTTCTATCATCGTCGCGTCCCCCGATGTCGACGTTGCCATGATACAGCGCCCGCCCAAGCCGCCGACTCGCATTGAAGTGCCCGCTGGGATGTGCCGAGCAGTCGGAGCCACCGCTTTTGCGTCGCCCGCGCCAAACAAGCTGGCCGCTGCGCGCGCGAGCATGCGCGGGCCAGCGCGGCCGCAGAGATGCACCAGCCAACACCACGCGTTCATCGCAATCGCTGCCGCATGGGTTTTGCAAACCAAGTTGCGGGTGGGTGGGTGGGTGGGATGTTTGCAAGAGCGCGGGATGTGTCAACTCGTTTGTTTTCACAGCCAATTGCACCACATAGGTTGCACCACATAGACTGCACAACACGAATTGCACAACATGGATTGCTACACATAGCGTCCACCACCTATACTAACTACTCCGCATAGATTGCACCACATGGACGGCACAATTTATGACGCACAAC